AATTTCAAGCGTCTAACTTAAGCAGTTTAGATTTTTCATACAAAAGGATTTTCCCGCTAATTCCCGTGCCCGTGGGAATTCCTAAGTATCCTATAACCTGCCCAGGAGTACGAAGAATAATTGTACCAAGTTTCGTTAAAATCCGTCATGTAGTTTTTGTTTCTATAAGGAACATACAGACAGACAGACAGACAGAAAGACAGACAGACAGACAGAAAGACAGACAGACAGACAGACAGACAAAAATTTTACTGATTGCATTTTTGGCATCAGTATCGATCACTAATCACCCCCTGATAGTTATTTTGAAAATATATTTCATGTACAGAATTGACCTCTCTACAGATTTATTATAAGTATAGATAGATTATTACAGTAGGTATGTGTACCAGATACAAAGTAAATGCAAGCTGGGTAGGTTTTCAGGGGCTTTAGCGTGATAACATATTGCAGAAAAGACACCAAAAATATTACCATAGATGTGTGTATGTTAGCATAGTTTCCCACTTTAATACCAGCGCAGGATCTTTCATTAAAGTCCACAAACCTATTGTTTGTCGGCGGCCTTACTCAGCTGTAACCAAAGTACTATTGGTTGTACAGATGACATCACATCAAGTTTAACACCGTGGTTTCTTATATATTTGTAATAAGAGCGATTTTTCAACAAAAATGTAAGGTTATTGTGCTCTCCTAATGGCCGAAAATTGCCACAACAGTGTCGCAGGTGCCTCTACACCGGTACGGCTTAAGCGATTTCCCTTGAACCAGCAATAAAACCTAGTTTTGCATTAAAACATCACATTTACTTGTGATAATTTAGTGCACGTTTTCATGTATTCTTGCAGCTCACGAAGGCGAGTGAGCTTTACTTGTGTGTGTACGTGTACTGTACGGTCAACAGCACGTCAACGTAAACACTGTGGTATCTTACGTAGTTGCGATAGGTACGGGCGGTTTGCAACGAAAATGTATAGCTTGATGTGCTGTCGACTGTACATGCACATAACGTTAGTGTAATGTCTATCAAAACTTTGAGAAACGAACAGTAGCGAGCCACCACACATGTAAGGCCCCTCGTTCTCGGCGACTTTTTGTAACGATGCAGTAGCGATTCTGTCGCGCGTTCGTATCGATACAGTCGCAATGCGGTCGCTAGCTGTATGCCCTCGCCCACATAAACGCGCTTCTGTCGCGAATACTGTCGCGATGCAAACGCGATTCAGTAACCCTCCCTCCCTCCGTTCTCTTCCCGATGTCGTCCCACACGGTCGCGCGTTGGCATCGCTTCTGTAGTGCGTTGCAAATGCGACTAATGCACGATGCTGTCGCTCGTTTACGAAACGCGCGACAGCATCACTATAAAAAGTCGCCTATTTGGCCCTAAATCTCACTCACCTTCGTGAATTGCAACAACAATACTTCGATTTTCCATCGACTCTACAAGTACGTAACGTACGTAATAGGGTAGTTTAACCAGTTATCGTCCTAGAGGTTCGGGGAGCAATGTTTGCTTTTAATTTGTGTCAGTTTGCGCTTAGTGTAGTGATTAACCTTATTGATACCAATCGCCATCATGCGTGCTTATCTAGTACCTAATAAGCAGATTGCCAAGCTAATAAACGATTAGTACGGCCAATGATTCCTGATTGATGATTGATTTGTGTTTGCGAGAAATGGATTCGGGTATTTCGGTAAAATAGATTTCTGCCGTGAAACCGCTTTTGAAGCAGTATTATCGGAAACTATAGGTCTATTGACTAACTCAATCAGTGCCTGAGGTATGGGGTGGCACTGGAGAGTGTTTTTTTGACTGACTGACGAAAGAGTGACTTCAGATCTTCTTCAAATTTAGCTCTGTCAACTGTGTAACGTCATAATATGTCAAAGTCACCCACCCCTCTCGTGCTGCTTCCATACTTACGTCAGGCACTGACTAAGTAAGCCACTATAGACCTATAATGAGAAATTCTGTATGTTAATTACTGAAATAAAACGTCGCGTTTTTAAGTTGCAAGTCTGCTGTTGCTAATGTACAGTCACGGAATGAAAAGGTTCGTCAGTTTTCAAATTGATTCCTTCAACGAATCGCGAGCACATATTACCTTTTGAAACTATGTTACAGAATAATCTCGAGTTAGAGAAAATAATCTTTAACTGTTCGTCAGTAAAGTTCAAAATTATTCAGATCAAAGTTGTTTGACGATTTATCTTGTCAAGAAGATTATTATGATTGATAAACTAAAACCTTCTTGTTGGTTCAACCTGCCATTATTATTTCTATTAAATAAAAAAAACTATTGTCAATTGGTCAATGTCATCATTGCATTGCACTGATGGGATAGAAAAATAAACAAGCAAAACCTTATTCGTTAGCAAACGTCATGAATATTTATTTAAATGTTAGCAGCACTGTTTCTTGCACTGTTATGTTGGCAGGTTTGACTCTTACAGTACCTAGTGCAAGCGAAAACCGACACTAAGGTGACGAACCTTTTCATTCCGCGACTGTACAAAATAGTGGGTACTCTAACATTTTAGGTAGGTAACTGTCTGTACCTAGCTGTCCTCAGCCTTAAAGCTAAGCCTTAATGTTAAAAAAAATCTATAATACTTCTAATTAATTAATAATCTACGGAAAATACATATATTTATGTATCTATGTATTTTCAACGGAAAAAACCTCTGACCTTTATGCAGGCCAAAAAAAGACTGTTCCTTCGATTGGTCCCAATTATATTATCACAACACAGAGCACGTTTGCGACCAAATTAACACCTACGCAGCGACAGGGGTCGTGGCGACCGCAGGAGGTAATTCTGTGGAGTTCATTGCATTACGCACCTCGCCTCTGGTTGCCCGTTGCTTCCTATTTATAGTAAACTGCTATCTGGGGACCACTTAGGGAAGCAAACTCGGCGTTCAACATTTACGGGTTATGTTTTTGAAGCTTGCGTTTTGAATAATGTCTTTTTTGTTTACGCGTGATTTATAAATGCGTGAATAATATGTAAAAAATATGGATTTGCTATTATTAATGTGAGCCTTATTAGGTGATGATAGTAAAGAAAATGCTCTCAGTATTTTTTATAGGTTGACTCTTGATTACCATCTCACCCAAGAGTAGATGAGATATAGATATTGTAGTGAATTTGCACAGAAAAAGATTTTTATATACCTGCAATAAGCTTGCAATGCAAAATTACCTATGTTCAGTGTAGGTAAGTGTATAGTCTTTACTAAACACAAGGTGTATAATATTTTGAAATATTCTGTCAAGTTTAAGCCCTACCTGATTCTAGACAACCTCAAATTAGGTTGGAGCACTTACCTATCCTAAAAGCATATTATGTTAATGTGTTTGTTCGTCGTCACGGCTTACGCACAGACGGAGTGTTTTACATAAACGCATGGATCAGTGTATTCAGTGTACTGAGTGCTGCGAGTATGGCGGCTTAAACCAATTCCCTTGTTTGTTGCTGGTGACTTTAGAGGCGAATGAGTTATGAATGGATTTCACTTATTTATTAATCCCTTCGTGGTTAGAGATTAAATTGAGATCTTGGTATATCGAGACGTAACCTTTTATGAAATGAAATTTAACCAAACTAGTATTCTTTTAATTTTTGAACTGTGTTTGGATTACGAACTCAACATTCGTTGTTGTTTAAACTTTGAGTTGCTAGTACCTATCAAAAATTAAACGATGAGAAAGGGATATAGGTAGTTAGGTAATACAATAAGTGACAACAAAAACTTACAAATACTGTATGTTCAACACAAATAGTCTTGCTATCTTATACAATATTCCTATTTGAGTTACTTTTGAAGTAACAATTTAGTTCAGCTCTCCATACTTGCCAGTGAATCAGGTAAATTCATGATGCCACATTACGAAGTACTTAGTTATTCTTCCGCCACCAAAACCACCTAAACTAAGAAAACAGCATGCAATCCATCTCCAGCACGATTTCGAATATGATCGCTGTTTTTAGATCACGGCGTATACTTCCTAATGCTTACACAGTTTCGGGTGCATCATGCTAGCATGAGCGACTCTTTCAGTCGCTCATGCTAGCATCTCGCTGTGCGTGAAAGGGACGAACATTCAGAACTTCGGATAGCATTGTAGAGAGTAGCCCCGTACGGATACTGGTATAAACCAATTCTCGCCGTCAGTAAGACCGTCCCGGTTTTAATTGGCGCGTTCTGTCCGTTGCACAGGAACGGGTTACAACGTTAGTCAACACAGCTGTGTGTACGATTTTAGGGACATTTTTGGCGAGAAAAGTAACAAAGTGGTTGATCAATATGAAAACTATTTAACTGAAATCAATATTTTTAAACGATGCTCAAAATCTGTGATTAGTTATGCTTGAGTTTCAATCGAGATTTCAGTGTCCTTTAAAAATGCCCTTCATCTTAAGGACTAGTTACTATTCCTGATGATTCCATGGTTAGAGTTTACTTTTTGCAAACTAGAGTTTTTGGAATCAAAGTGAGTCGTGGCCTTCGACGATCTCCATTTCGGTCTGTTCTGCGCCACCTCTAGCTAGTTATCGACGAGGAGATTGCGTAGGTCCTTAGCGACTTCGTCTTCCCAGCGGTACCTGAGACGAACAATCTAAATAATATTGCCTCTGTAACTATCCAGGATACATGTTTTTAAAAGGCAACATTTCACAGCCCTTTTTNATTAATAATTTTCAATTTATCACATTAACCGTAACATATACATAAACTCATTTTCGCGCGAGAGTTTTGGCGGAGGCCCTTGAGGTAGTGGGAGTAGTCTTGAGGAAAAGCTCCTTCTCCCACGGCCAGTGGCATGCTAGAAGCTTGGTAATTCTAGCACCCGTAGGAAAATAAAAAAAAAGTTTACCAATACGTTATTAAACGTTTTTAATACTGCGGTAGGTGTAGTTTTCGATTTCGTTGTAAAAAGATAATACCACCGATCAAAGGCCGNACCTTATTATAAAAATATTACTCACTTGTGACTGTGCGGGCACGATGAAAGAGTCTCCGAAAGGGTCCGTGGAGGGAGTCAGCCCTTCAACCTGCGTGAGCCCCCGCCGCAAAGAGCACAGCTCTTGTTCTAAGTCCACCAGCTCTGCCACGCCCCTCTAGCCACTATAAGTCCCATTTATAAAACCTCACTCACTTGTGACTGAGCGGGCACGATGAAAGAGTCTCCGAAAGGGTCCGTGGAGGGAGTCAGCCCTTCAACCTGCGTGAGCCCCCGCCGCAAAGAGCACAGCTCTTGTTCCAAGTCCACCAACTCTGCCACGCCGCCTTCCCCGCTTGCTTCTGCGCTTTTAGGCGTGGACGTACTTGTCTCGCCGATTGAAGTTATCTGAGGACAAGGTAATACTAATTAGTGTTATTGGACATTTCACAAATGTGAAATCATGGTTTTAATCAAACCCTAAGATAAGTATTTCTCTACTCAAAAAACGATCTGTTTTTTCTAAATAGAATTCATAAATTCATAAAATTCATTTATTTTTGCAAATAGGCTTTTAAAAAGCGCTTTTACACGTCCCAATATTAACCCTACCACTGGTTTGGGACAATAAATGGGCCAGTGCTGAGAAGAAGCAGCGCAAGAAACTCAGTCACTATTGTCAGCCTCCTTTTCAAGGTTTTACAGTCTTTAAAATATACAAATTATAGTCATAAGTATTGATGCGAGCTAGGTAGTTAAACATTCCAAACATTTTTATCTTTTATATAATCATCAACTTTATAGTACCTAGCCCTTTTTCATTAAGGTGCCTTTTTCATTAAATGCGGCAATACGTTTCTTTTTCACACAACTTGCCAGCCGACGCAACGTGACGCATCTCATACACTAATCTAAACACGAATACACACACCTGTCGCTCGCGATATAACCACTAAAATGAATAAACCCGCAATATTTACGAATAAAATTGCTATTTGCTACATGGTGATGCAAAATAAATAAATCTAAATCTAAATCTAATGTCGTTTTACGAAGGTCAATTAAATTTAAGGTCAGTAACCGCAACGCATTTCAAAAACAATAAATGAGTTTAATTCGTCTACTTCGCACAATATTACATTGTCACTTGAAGTTCAACCCAATTGAAAAATTCAATCTAAGATCATAAGCAGATGCGGATGCGGTCATTACGACAAATAACGCTAATCGAGGCAATAACGTCATCATGTATCGCCCATGCACACTTTAGGGTCTATATTTTGTTAGTCCATTTCCTTTATAGGCCGTTCTATAGCTCATTTTGAAGGTCATTCAGCATCCTACAATTTAAGAAAATAATTTCACTCTTATTTAAATCTAGCCTTGACTGTGGTCAGCATTATCTTTGATTTGCATAATTATTGAAATTATTCAGATAATTTTCCTCAATCACAGAACATCTCTACATAGTCTCTCCGCTATCTGTACGCTTAATATCTTGTATAGTCCGTTAAGTTTTCTTATAAACTGGTTGTAATTCGGTAATATTCGTTAGCACATTATTATACGTTGCACTCATGTGAAGCAAGGGTGGATCGCTTGTTATCTATAAGACAAAATTGTGAAAAAATAATATCGAAATACATACATAACTATGTGAATCTTGCCGACGCGCAGAAATATCACATAATCAAGTTACGTAATTTGAATCAGAAAACAAATAGAAACGATAATAAATTCTGGCTGAATGTCACAAAACTTAATTTAAGCCGACTATCACTGCAGAAAACTTATAACATCAAGATAGACCTTCTCTAAACGCTAATGCCACTTTACAATGGAATAACGAATGCCGTCTGGGCTTAGCTGATGTTTGTTGACTTAACACTTAGCTATTTGGTGTTTTCACGGCGGCCGGCGCTCGCTACAAACATATCCATTAGTCACACAAACGGCTCGTGATCGCATGCTTTAGACGGGCATCATAATGTAAGCTGTGTAGTATGTGGGTCAGCACAAGGATGACATTATGTAGATAATTTTGAACGATTTACATGAATCGCCGTATTTTGTATGATAATAATGTGTCCGTTTGTGTAAGTAACCATATATAATAAGAAATTGGACAAAACACGTGCTAAAGAACGTTAAAAAAAAACGAGGAGGTCGCAATTGTTTAAAATTGAGACATGAATGGTAAAAATTGCCGTGTGTGGTTAGACGCAAGACCACTCCTACTCCTCCCGTGGATGTCGTAAGTGGTGACTCTTGGATAAATCTACGAAAATCTGGTCTCCGCAACTTCTTAGCCAGGGTAGAGAGAGTAAACTAAGTCCTGCATTTGCATCTGGTAAATTAAGAGGGCCGTTTTCCTGCAGACGAGATGATACCTGTGGGTCTAGACAAAGTGCAGATTATAATCTCAAACCAGTCGAAAAATGGTCGGAAGGCCTTTTTTTGTATGTAGTTATGACGGATTCGATTTTCGATTTGATCAAAAAGTGCAACTTGTCTAGGGGGGCTGATGATGATGATTCTTACCTTAGATTTGGTCTCCACAGCGGCGGCGGCAGCGTGGCGCACTAACGAGCTGGTGACAGTCTTTCCTTCTAGCTGCTGCTTGGCCATTTCCACCTCTTTCTTCTTCAGCTCGAACACTACTTGGAATAAGTCCCGCATCGCTATAACTACCTGCAATGATATAAACCATGTAATGGGATTGGTTAAAGGCTATTATAACCTGGCTATGGCTTTCTCCGGGATTGGTACTTATTTGGGTTCTGACGCAGAATGTGCACTTTGCAAAATGCTCACTTTATTTACTAATACATATTAAAGAAACAAACTCTTCAGCCTTTACTTGGCTATTTAGCATTCAAAATATAGCATAGAAGTGAGTATATTTCGAAGTGCACATTCTGCATCAGACCCAGTATTTGGAATTACCTAAGCATATAACAAATTGATACCTAGGGTAAGTGCGGAATTAAAGGATTAGGCTTAGATATTTGGTAGAATTCGAGCCATTTTTAATCTCGTTCTCTCATGACTAACCTAATGACATTTGCTTGGCATGCATAAATTCTTTTGCTATCTTATCCTAACTAAAGAATTAGGTACTTAGTAGCATTGTTATCAACCAGAAGTAGTGCAAACTGGACAGACAAAATAGCGTCCTACACATTACTCTTTATAATAAGAGACACGTTGTCCAAACCGATACGAGCATTAGTAATGTAGGATAAATTATCAGCAGTCCAAAGCTCAGTTTGTAAGACTAAACGATGTTTGATGAACCAATACAAATATAGCCAAAGGGCTAAAGCAGATTAGGTAGTGATTCGTGACTGCATTGTAATACAATAAAATGATTTGTAAAACATGTCGCCTAAATTGTCATACAATGCACTACAGTGTGGATTCGATGCTGTGATCATGTGTAGAACTGATACACTGAACTGATAGTATTTATTAAACTTGTACTTATGTCGCTACATGACTCGGTATAGCTTTAAAAATAAATGAAATCAAACATCTCACCCTGCGAAACATCGACTCGTTCTGGGATATTGTATTTTACGGAAATAAAATAGTTGAACCTTAAAATAATGTATTCAGTATAGTGGTTTCATGGTAAACCGTGTGGTTAGCGCAGCTCAAAAATTAAGTGCCAACAGCGCTTTTGCCAATAGCCCGTACCGGTTACCGACCGCACCATCAAAATTACAACTATGCAATGCGACGATGCGACAGGACAACATAATGTAATAAAAATAAAGGTTGAGCTCCTCCTCCATTTTATTGAAGTCGGTTAAAATAACAACTTACTTGACTAGCAGCCTTATCAGTCTTGATGCCGAAGAATCGGTGGCCCGTGTCGGGCGAGCCGAATATGTAGCCGAATGCTCGCGAGTCCGTCATGTCTTGCGCGATGAACGATATCTTGTGCACCGGGTGGTGGTACAGTGAGTCCTGGACGAAAATGTTGCGATTAAAGAAGCCTTTTAAAAAAAACATAATTACCTACATTTAAAAAGTCTACCGTTTCTCTTCTCTATACCTAACTTACAGGGTGCAAGTACATGAGTTGCATCAAAAGCGCTATATCTTTCGCAATGAAGAATTCACAGTCAAAATCTTGCAGTGCTGTGACTGACTACTTCAATTAGGTAGAGATTTTACACATCCGGAGTCTTCAAACTTTTTTTGCGGGTCTGATTGAATTTGATCACGAGCCCACATTTACGCCCGTATTCACAAACATTACTATGAGGTTTCACAGTGCGCGTGTGTGGACGCACAGGGTGACACACGATGATGGCTCGTATGGCCATCTTTAGTGTCGTAAATTAGAAAAGGTCGTGATTCTGCAGTGAAGACTAAACGATCTACTGATGATGATGATGATAATGACTTACACCAGTTTTATACCACCAGTGATCTTGTATCCTCTGCTTGTGTTTGCCGGCGGCTCGTATGGCCATCTTCAGTGTCGTAAATTAGGAAAGGTCGAGTTCTTGCAGAGGGGACTAACTAAATAAATAACCTGACTTACACCCGTTTTATCATCGCGCAGTCGCAACCCATCGATGGCCACGTGCACTTGTATCCTCTGCTTGTGTTCTCCAGCGGCTCGTATGGCCATCTTCAGGTCGGCTAGAGCCTCCTGGCACATGCGGTCTCCCCTAGCCTCGGGCACCTCGAGCACGCCTATCAGCTTGGCGCGAAACGAGACGCCCTCGCCGAGGAACCGACCGGGCTCGTTCTTGTCTGCACAGATAATGTAACGTAATAAGCTGAAAGAGGTTATTCCATGGCCAGTTTCACGAGAGTTTTGTTTTTATTTTGATCTTTAGAAAAAAACTGCCAGTATCTTTTAGCATCATGAAAATCGATTTATGAATATTTTTTGGATATAATTTGAATGTAATTTTAATTGATCCTGGATGCAAAACTGCCAGCATCATTTTGCTTCAAATAGGGAATACCGAGATATTACGCTTCATTATAATTGAGATGCACTGCTAACTGACATGTTTTATGATAACTAAAGTCCACTTCAATTAACGCACAGGCTACGGTTAATTACTATGTCACTCAAACATTGTTTGTAGCGTCCATAAAACATTTGTAAACTAATATCTACACCCATAAATTAAAACCATTTAACTCAGAAAACAAGCAATCTAAATAAAGCGAAACAACTTGGCAGAAACACAATTTCACATCACACTCAGTTCAGAAGAATGTAAGAACAACACCTTTGTTCAACAGACTTTTTGAATCGGCCTTTTTTGGTGTCATTTTTTATTCAGAGCAACGGGACCACGGCGCGCAAGCAACAGGAGTCGAGTGCAAAATAAAAGTGAGCGCGGTTGTCCTATTTCGGTCCCTGTTTACGGTGCATCATTGCTAGTTAAATTGAATTTCCTGTTTTTAAATTTAGAATCTGGATTCGTTGGGAACTGGCTGATACGAGTGGTTCTGGTTGCAGAATTGGCTACGGAAGCTTAAAAAGCCCTGTTTCAAAGACTCTATCAAATCCTATTTAGCATATTGATTTTTTTCATTTGACAATAGTCTGCATCTCATCTGGATTAGATGAGGTCTACGACGGAAAAGTCTCATATCGTAAGTACCCATTCGCTCGTGTCTAAACGACATTTAGATCAAAGTATTAATTGCAAGTGTCCAGACGGTTAATTTAGCAATTCACAGCGTTGTTAGTTTTTAATTGCAAAACCAATCACGTTTATTAAAGGTAAACACTACACAACCCTGTTAGTTAAGATCTATAACTGCGTAATTTTACAAGATTATGTTAGATATGAGATTAGTAAGTTTGTTATTAGGTAAGCCATCATCAAAATCTTACAAGTTTAAGACGAAGAGGAACCCTATTTAATCTAGTTTGTTTCTTTATAACAATGTATAAAGTATAACACTACTCATTCAGGTCATGTATGAATGACGTAGAGTTGTTCTACCTTGTACCTACCAAAGTTCTTCCACGCAACCACTGAAACATCTAATAATTTATTAGAGCATAAAATATTTAATAATATCGAAACAAATCTATTTGCTGATGATGAACAACAGCCAAATCCCAACTATCCCAACTAATATTATAAATGCGAAAGTAACTCTGTCTGTCTGTCTGTCTGTCTGTCTGTCTGTCTGTCTGTCTGTCTGTCTGTCTGTCTGTTACGCTTTCCCGCTTAAACCTCGCAACCGATTTTGATGAAATTTGGCATAGAGATAGTTTGAGTCCCGGGAAAGAACATAGGATAGTTTTTATCCCGGTTTTAGAAACAGGGACGCGCGCGATAAAGTTTTTGTGTGACAGACAAAANTAGCAGAATTGGCAACGGAAGCTTAGAAAACCCTGCTTCAAAGACTCTTATCAAATCCTAATTAGCATATTGATATTTTTTTCATTTGAAACTAGTCCGCATCTCATCTGGAGTAGATGAGGTCTAACGACGGAAAGGCTCATATCGTAAGTACCCATTCGCTCGTGTCTAAACGACATCCAGATTAAAGTATTAATTGCGAGTGTCCAGACGGTTAATTTAGCAGTTCACAGCGTTGTTAGTTTTTAATTGCAAAACCAATCACGTTTATTAAAGGTAAATACTATACAACCCTGTTAGTTACGATCTATGACTGCGTAATTTTACAAGATTATCTACACTAATATTATAAAGAGGAAAACTTTGTTTGTTTGTTTGGTTGTAATGAATAGGCTCAAAAACTACTGGACCGTTTTTAAAAATTATTTCACCATTCGGAAGCTACATTATCCACGAGTAACATAGGCTAAATTTTATTTTGGAAAAACATAGGGTTTAGGGGTCCACGGGCGCGAAGCCGCGGGCGGAAAGCTAGTGTTAGATATGAGATTAGTAAGTTTGTTATTAGGTAAGCCATCATCAAAATCTTACAAGATTAAGACGAAGAGGAACCCTATTTAATCTAGTTTGTTTCTTTATAACAATGTATAAAGTATAACACTACTCATTCAGGTCATGTATGAATGACGTAGAGCTGTTCTACCTTGTACCTACCAAAGTTCTTCCACGCAACCACGCAAACATCTAATAATTTATTAGAGCATAAAATATTTAATAACACCGAAACAAATCTATTCGCTGATGATGAACAAGAGCTAAATACTTCAGTATCCTTTGGAATAATGGTTATTGGAAAAAGATTTACAAAATCCATCAAAAACATGTGATTGTTTCGTGATTTTGTATAAATCCGGGTATTACTTACGACAGATTGGAAACGTGATCGGCTGAGTATTAATGCTGCTATCGGATCTAGTGTTGAATTCGAAGTTTGTCCCTAATAACCTCGATCAGTCAAATAGTTATTTTTTCCAGTCATAAATAAATTCCTAATTCACAAATCTATTGTGTCTAAAATAGTTGGCGAATATTTTTCCAATGTCTTGTCGGAAAATAATGTATGTTTTTTACAAATCACGAAAACGGCTCGACTTTCAGTCGTCTTACATAAAAATACACAAATCGTCAAGTTTGTGTTAACACGTTTACCATTGTTGTTTCTTCTGTGTTTCTCTATCGTAATATTTATAAAAAATGACAAAAATTCATTGAAGTAGGTACGTACGATGATTAAGTAAGCTTCTTCTTCGTAGCAGCATCCTCATGGCTGAGGACGGTTGAGGAACGTAGCCTATGTGGTCTACTTGTCCCATTAGATGTTAGTAATCTACGGAATAATACAATCTAAAAGAAAACTACAAATAAGATCATGTTTCAATTTCGTAAGTCTCTATGTTCTATGCGGTAGCGTTGATATTTCAAAAAATACGAAAAATGCTAACGTTCCATCAATCCACCAGTTTACATTACTTATTAAAATCAACCGAGATCTTTTCAGTCTCATATCTAATTGTTATACCGAAATGTTAATCGACTTTTGATAAAATAAGGTGCGAATCTGCCTATTTCCTAATGACTCTCCGAAATCGAGTATTTCTAAATAATTGTACCTAGCTGCGGTATTAACGATTAATCCTACACTAGTTAAAGATCTTGTGCTTTCGTAAATCAGGCGTAACTTGGTTAAGCGTTATCATGGCACATGGGCAGGCGAGTCTCATGCGACATACACATAAAAGCAAGGCGTTAATGGTGTATCAAGCGTACTGTTATCATACTCACCGAACTGCCGCAAGAGATGCTGGAAATGACACACCTGCATTATTCCACGTACAAACCGACAAATAGTAAGTTACGCCCCCGTCGCACCACCGCTCCACTTTCGCCACGGGCCCACAACACACCCTCTGTCCAAAATACCAGGGGTCACTAATTATGACATGGGACTAGCACGTGAAATGGCACACGACGCTAGCTGGGATATTACAGTTAGTAGGGAGAACCATACGGCCGATCCATGCATATTACATGTTACAACAGAAATCGCAAATTATAATAAAGCAAAATGCTATAACGTGGTCGATTTACATGGAGCGCTAGCTAACACCGCATGACCTAGTATTTGTAATTAAATAAAAACAAGAATATCGTAAGTGAAAAGCTTATTCGAGCTGTACAGTATACACGATGGGAACTCACATTTGCAAGGGCTGGTTTTCTTACGAAGGGTTTGCATTGGAAAGTCAGTCGGTAACTTGTGATTAAACATCGGGAACTTTATCTTTCGGTATCACTGAAACGTAAAGTAAATTCACTACTGAAATTAACACAGTTCGTCGCGATTTCACATCGGCGGCACTGTTCAGTAGAAATGTGAGATATTCAAGTTACACTATGAGATTTATTGATTTTTTTGCCGTCGGTCACGTTGCCGACGGGAGGTTTCCGGCGCATCGCGGGTTGGTTGATGAGCGAGCGCGAGTTTGCGTTTGCTGGTGCGATTAGACGATAGATAGATAATTTGGGTGTAGAACATTAGTTTTGGTTTGGTTGGACACAGGAGCTTCCCGGTCGCGGAGTACTTTGCTCTCAGGGCGCACGCGTGGGCGGCCGCCCGCGCCCTCAGCCGGCGCGCACTCACACACGCGCAAACCACCCCCAATCGATATTCGCGCCCATCGCCGTGCAACTCTAGCGTACTCGATGTAACCGAAAATTTATTTAATGACCCGGCTGCTTTCATGTAACCATTTCGTGATGGCATTTGAAAAATACTATACCCCTTTTTGATTAAATTTGAACTATTTAGGAAAACTTTTCTTTCATTGTATTTATATGTTTACAACAATTTGACTTTTGAACCCTAAAACATGCATAGTATATGTTTAATTATGTTTGTTTGTTGTTGGATCTTAATTATGAGCAACATGGTAGAAAATATGGTCATAGTCAGTTTAATAATTAACTTCAATTCTTAATAGCAAATGTCTAACTTCATTGCCTCAACCAGAAATATTTTATACACCAAATCATTAAGGTTTTGTAAATTTTGTACATAGAAATATGAATTGACACCCATCAAAGTGTTGTAGTGTTTAACAAGGGATGTTAAAGACCAGCTGTTACATAAACATTAATGAAACTCAATAAAGATAGTGAGTTTTTATACATGTAGAAAATCTATTTCATTTTAATTGAATTCAATGAACTAAAGGGGACTAGAGACTAATTAGAAAATCAGTAATTATTTAATAAAAAATTAATAATGCATATTCGAACAATTATTAGAAAAAAAATCTATTTAGATACTAAAGTACAACTAGTGAATGTGTTTACTCTTGATTAAGACTGTCCAGCAAAGAGTAAATAACTAAAATTCATTATCTACATAAACATTGTTTAATTATTTATTAATTTAATTGGCACTGAACTGCCAGAAAGTACAACTGTGAAGGCTGTATGATAAGCTAGATAGCCTCGTAAACAAACACAGTAATATTTTATTGTGATAACATTGTTGATCCATGTGACAATAAACAAAACATGCAGTTTACTGAATGGCCATGACCCTTTATGTACAGTTATTTCACAATGTAGTAAGTAGTTGTAGTCAGTGGCGTAGCGTGGCTTTTCGCCGCCCGGGGCCGTCCGGAAATCCGCCGCCCTTTATTTTAATTATAAATATTTTAAAGTTTAAATATTATATTGAATGGACTTCAGGTACACTATTCACCTTATTTGTTGAAAGTCAAAATAAACTACCACGCACTACTTCAGAAGGAAAATACATTAAAGAGAAGCAATTGCTTGAAACCCACAGGAAGTTTGATTTTCTTAAATAGCTCAGCTTTATTATAGTTAGGGAGGCGAGGTAGCTAAATGGCGTAATTCAACGGCGCCGTCGAGACCTGTCAAAATCGAAAGATAAAATAATTTCGAAAAGAAAAGCTCGTATGGCAAAAACCATTTTAGCGGTGGGTTTGGCGTGTACGGTTTTTCAAAAATGTTAAAAAAAACAGTTACTTGGGCATTCTCGAGCGCGTCAGATATTCATACTACGTATGCCCCGAGTGCCTCTGATAACAACGGTATACTAATCTGCCGGTTTGCGTGGTGGGGTAGGCATAATATAAAGTAGTCAAAAATGAAAAAAAAATATATTTACTCGAGCGCGTCAGATTTTCGGAAGGGGTGTTAAGTAGGCCCCAAGGAAGCTCCCTTTAAAAAAACTGACGATTTCGGCGTGATGACGATAAGTTACGATGAATTTATGAAAATGCAAAAAAAAAAAGGTTTTTTGAAATACTCGAGCGCGTCAGATTTTCATAGGGGAGGTTTATCTCGGTATCCTGAAAGCATATTTTTTTAATCTGACAAAAATGTTGGTGGGTACTCTTAATCTGACCGAAAAAGGTTTTTGGTTTCTTTTTTTTCCTTTCTTTCTCCTTGATAAAATGGGGAATTTATGCCAATAAAGCGATAGATACAACCAATGTAAATGTTTATTTAAACTTTTTTTTTGTAAAATGTATCGTTCGCGACTTATATGCCGTAACGCGTTCTTAGGAAGACGAAATGGCTTCTCCACACTTCCGGTCATGCGGAAACCGGCAGATTTTGTATTTTTAGTAAGTTTTAGATTATATTCTTCAAAATAAAAATAAAAAAAATCGCGCTCGAGCATTCCGGATTAACATTTTTTTTTACAAGTTCGCGACCCATCCAAAATTAAAAAAGTGGTTTGAAAAATGTATAATATGTATCGAAGCTATTTTTTTAAATAATTTGTTTGAATTCATTACATATTTGCAGCAAGTTACAGATTTAATTACTGCTAAAAGTTACCATTTTAGCTAGCTCATTTTGAATTTCGAATTTGCAGAATATAATAAATACACGGTTTTAAAAGTAGCTTAGATATGGCTTTAACTATTTACAAACCACTTTTTTATTTCGGTTTGTAACAAGAGAAATCACGAAAGATTATCTGTGGCACAAGTTTTAGAGGGGTAAGTAAGCTCCTTAAATATTTTTGTTACTATTACTTAAAAAAATAGATTAAAAATTTACTCTTCGTGCTTTTTTCAAAGCAAAATCTTTTACACAATTGTCGATATCAAATTGTATCTCATTTTCAATTGCCAGTATAGCTAGATTTGTTAGTCTCAACATAGACATAGTCGAACTTTTTTTTTCTTGTTCATGCAATGTTTTTTTTTCTTATCCGCCGCCCCCTTTCATATGCCGCCCGGGGCCATGGCCCCCCCTGCCCCCCCCAAGCTACGCCACTGGTTGTAGTTGTAAAAAATTGTAAATTTTACTTTATAATTTTGGTTAGCCAATGTTTTATACTTTATTGTCTTAGTACTACAATAAATACCTATAATATTATATTCATATTTATATTAGTTATTTAAATGCTTTTCCGGATATTTATTATTACATTTTAGGGGAATAATTAACATTGAGTAAACAATAATTAAGTAAAATAATTATAATTGTAGTTATTAATGTAGTAAAAGCTAACCTCTGACCATATATTCGAATTAAAATTGGTTTCTTAGATCCAATTATCTCTGACAGTTCTAAGAATAATCAAAGAAGGCTAACGCACAAATAAACAGGTTGCGAAGCCGGTCATGGTTCGCTTTTGTGCGTAAGCATCACGAGTTAACAACGTAAAAAAAGAAGATTTACAACTTACCTTTACTGCCAGCCATCACAAAGATAACATTTCATAGATGAAAATAGTTCATAAAGTGATTTAAATATCAATTTAATAATTCAAACACTGTAAAAGCACTAATTACTCCTAAAAACAAAATGACTACTAAAAAATATATTTATTTCTTAGAATCAAAGGGTGATAGCGACTTCCTTTTGAATGTAGGTATTCCGTGATTGTACCTATTATGTTTATTTGTTATTTATAACGTGATAAACTTGAATTTTAATTAATGTAGCTAGCGAAACTTGCAAGATCACAGCAAGCGAGCAACAGCTTCTGACGTCTCTCATCTGTGCGTCTGACAGTAAGTTCAGTAACTGTCAGTGAGGTGAGAATGAGAAAAGAGAACGAAACGGATCAAATGAACAAAACTCAACTTACTGTAAACTTTGTCAACAGAGATCAGAGACATGCAAAAAAGATTGTGCACTTAAAAATTGGTCACTCGACAAAAGTTGAGATGAACACGAAAAACCGGGTCTTCAGTGGATCTAGTCTAGACAAAGTGCACATTTTAATCGCAAACCAGTTGAAAAGTGGTCGAAAAGCCTTTTTTTGTATGAAGTTTTGTCAGATTCGATTTTCGATTCGATCAAAAAGTGCACTATGTCTAAGTAGATCCACTTATTATTATACTCTTTGGGCATGTTGTGCCCATCTGTCACTGTCAGTGTCAGTGTCTCAGTGATTGACTGACTGTCAAGTTTGTTTTGATCAGCGGTTTTGTTTTCGTCGTTTCGTGTTGTTGTTTGTAAAAATATTTAATTACAAACAAAGAATATTCTGAAAATGACTCTTGTATTCGATACAAATGATTGCTGTCTATTAGATCATAGACGATATGTAACAAACTTATACAGAAAAGTTGTGGACGACGAACAAGTAACTTCTTTTGAATTGAGTGAGAAGTTGTTTCACATAGTAAATAGGAATAATTCCAGGGACATACACAGAAAAAGAAAAAACAAGTCTAATGAGTATCATGAAGAGGTATGTAGGTACCTACCTATATTCAGTTAGATAATATAAATTCCATGTTAGGTTAGGACATTTTAAACTGATCACCCTTTACAATAATCATGCAACTCTGCCTTCCCTTGACTAAGAAGACGCTGTGATATTTTGGCAAAAATGTATGGTACCTATGAAAAATTCAGCCTAGCTTTTACTACTGCACTTTTTATCATAGGCAAGCAACACTGTTGATTGTGTCTATAGACAGAAATTAATTAGGCAATAAATACATATATCAAGACATATTTTTCATTATTTTCCAGACATTGAACATTAAAATGCAGTATGAAAAATTTTTGGATGAAATACCAATATCAATCAAAGAAGTACTTTGTAAAGAAAACCTTACAATTGATTCTTCAGAGGTTCTCAAACTATCCCAGTTGCTATGTGAAGGAACAATATTTGAGCACAATGGCCTGAATGGTGGAAATAATCTGGGAAGCCCTTTAAAGTGTAAAGTAAGGAATGAATATTTCCTAATACCTCAAAACTGTAGGTTTGTAAATGTAGAATTTAACTTAACTTTCATGTTAACCTCTAGGACATTAAAAATTATTTTTAAAGTGCTTTAAGAAATGTTTGAATTCATTTATTTTTTCATAATTTATCATTGTTAGTAAAAGTTTAATTTTTTTTAGGTTTTTTTGTGGCTGTGTTAAGGAGCAGTGCCCAAAGTTGGATGGCAATAAGTTTGACATACTTGTGGCTGATCCTCCTTGGTGGAACAAGTACATACGACGATTGAAGAATGCTAATGACAAATTGAGGTTTCATATTCCTTAAATTTTGTATTAATTATCATCAATTAAAGTTACTTATTAATTATTTATTACATTACAGTTATAATATGATGTACAATGAAGATATAGCCAGCATTCCAGTCAAGAACCTTCTAGCATCAGATTGCATAATAGCTGTTTGGTGTACTAATGCCCAAAGCAACATTGACGCTGTCAAGAATTTGATATTCCCTAAATGGGGTGTTGAGTATGTCACCACTTGGTACTGGTTGAAAGTTACCATAGACTTGAAACCTCTGTGTCCGTTCAGTGCTGGATGTAAGAAGCAGCCCTATGAGAGAATCATTCTAGGGAGAGTGGGCAAAATTAAAGATATACCAAAGGAAAAAAATATATTGAGTGTGCCAAGTGCTCTGCATTCACACAAACCTCCTTTGTTAGGTAAATATCTTTTTTAAATTGAAACTTTTACTGTGTTTCAGATTTTTTAAAATTATTAAAGACACTTATCATTTCTTGCAGATATACTGAAGCCATATTTGAATAAGGAAAACCCTGAAGCATTGGAACTGTTTGCAAGATATCTCCTCCCAAATACAACAAGTGTTGGATATGAACCTTTGAAATGGCAACACATATCATTGTATGAGAAAATTACAAGTGATACATAAATTAATTATTAAATCTTTTTAATTGCTGAAAAATCCCAAGAACCCACTCTGAAGTTAATGGTCTACTTTTGGTAAGTATCAATATACAACTTTAATAATAAAACACATGTTGGATAAATTATAACTTATTTAATTACACATTAAATTAAGAGTTTTGTAAGATGACATTAACTTTTTCCATTGACAATAACATTTGTCTTTGCTTTCTTGGGGTATCCATCAGGATTCATGGTTTGCCATCTCCAAAAATCAGTACCTGTAATAGATATCAGTGGTTAAAAGCCAGCCACTAGGTGGTAGAATTGATTAAAATTGTAAAGCTTGCTGCTGAAAGATACTTAAATTATTTTTAAAATAATTATTAATTAACTAAGAAATTACAAAACATTAAAGGTTGTTGAGATAAACATCCTGTATATTACCTAACTTTGCAAAGTTTTAAAAATCAAAACAACCGATAAAGTGCGATCGAAAGTCTCTCCTTAAAATTGCCCATGTCGCGATAGGCTTTTGGATGTATAAATAAATATTCCAGACAGGCAGGTCGCGTGGACTGTCATGGGGCGCGCGACCTACTGTCATTGGCCTATGATCGCGTCGGCAATGGCGATCAGAGGTGGAATTGTGTAAAGCAATCGTAATCATTTGACAGTTCATAACGTACGATAAAGTCAGTTAAACAAAGCGTTTGACAGAATAATCGTACGTTATGAACTGTCAAATGATTACGATTGCTTTACACAATTCCACGCGTTAGTGTGGTTGAAGCATAGAACAACTTTAGGCTTGTACTTCGACAGATCTCTCGATTCTAAAAAGAAACTTACACATCTCCTCAACGCTATGCTTCGTGGTCCAGCCCAGTTCCTCTTTGGCTAGCGTAGCGTCGGCCCACATGGCCGTAATGTCCCCCAATCTTCGGTCCACATACTTCAGTGGAATCTTTGTGTTGGTGACACGCTCGAATACCTCCACCAGCTGTTTGACTGACACTCCTCTGCCTGTTCCCAAGTTGTAAACCTGAAAATTGTCAAGAGAATTAAGATGAAATTGTCTGCCACTGCTTTTGCGCCGGCTATGGGCCCTGAGGGCTGAGTGTGAGTTTTCAACCGACTTCAAAAAAGGAGGAGGTTCTCAATTCGACCCGTATGTTTTTTTTTTTTCTATGTTTGTTACGCGATAACTCCGCCAATTATGAACCGATTTGAACAAATCTTTTTTCGGCGTATAGGTAATACCTCAAGGGTGGTCCCATTTAAATTTAATAATAGAAAAAACAACCCCCAAGGGTGGAAAATTGGGGATGAACTTTTTTATACGCAATATCTCCGCCGATTATAAATCAATTTGAACGATTATTTTTTTGTTGAATAGGTATTATCAAAAGGGTGGTTTCATGCGAATTTGAAGAAAATATTTCACCCCCAAGGGTGGAAAATTGGGGATGAACTTTTTTATACGCAATTTTTTTAATTTTTAGTTTTTTTTTTGTGTTCACGCATTTGAAGTCGGTTTTATTTCTTTAAAAAGTTATCTTCAAACGCGCTCAATCAAAAAATGACATTAAATGTATGACGGATTGTACAGCGCCCCTAGCGGGAAACGTTCAAAAACTAAAATTTTCATACATTTTTTAAACGCGCTCACTAGTGAGCACATTTGATGTAAACTCACACTCAGCCCACTGATCGAGATTCAAGTTTGTCTTACTGGGCGAAAAGAGGGCTTTGGCCTTCCCTTTAGTCTAAAAATATGTTATCTGTGGTCTAACGAAGCTTTCATATCACGTAAAAGTAGGCTATCTAGCTCTACCTTAGAGCCTTATCTAATCCTCAGAATGTCGTAGCATCCCTTTTCCGAGAATCATGGAAGTATCACGAATCTCTAAACCTCTTTATTAAGTTTTGTGTTGGGTACTTGTCTTTCAGTTGGTACGTATTCCATTTTAAAACTGAAATATGTTTTATGTAGATAGAGCTCGTGTTACTAACCTTGAGTTTTACGTGGTTGTTGCTGAGCAGATTCAAGGCCGCCACATGTCCACTCGCCAAGTCCATCACATGGATGTAATCTCGAACTCCTGAAAAATATGATTTTACATTAATCAAACTTGTTCAACCAACTCTCCTTTAATTATGATANCTATGATAACTTGCTAAACCCCAAAATCCACTTAAAGTAAACGGGACGTAGGCTGAAGTTTTCAGGGTAAAGATAACTCTTACCAGTTCCATCAGGGGTGTTGTAGTCGCTTCCGAATATTGTCAGAACGGGCTTTTTTCCCAGGGCCACCTGTGCCATGAAGGGCATGAGGTTTGAGAACTCCTTGGTCGGGTCCTCGCCGATCAGGCCTGATGGATGCGCGCCAACCGGGTTGAAATATCTTAAGGATATGATGTTCCATTTCTGAAATATTTTTAAGTGATATTATTTATACTAGAGCTCCGCCTTTTACGTAATCATGTAGATGAGGTAGGTAATACAGGGTGTGATTCAGGTTCACAAAATTTTCTCCTACACTTGGTATTTTCCGACAATAAAATGTTGATCATTTTATAAAATCAGAAATCATTACATTTTTACTACATCCTGCATATTTTCTTACATAGATGGCAACATGAATAAAATTTCCATTAAAAATGGGATGGGAATGTGATATCATTTTAGTTCGGCAAGTTCGGCCTTGAACTTATCTGTCGGAAGATTTTAGGTCAATAAAACTGGTTAGTTAGGTACCATATGATGAAAAAATGTCACAGATTTAAGCTAAAATGTGTCTTGAGGATCATTTTTTTATTTACGAATATAAGGCTTTAATAATTTTAATCTAGTTTAGAGATTTATTGGTTTAGTTCTAGCATTATTAGTCATGTAAAATAGATTTTATGGCGATAGAATGTTCTCAAATAACGTTGACATTTGAGAATTTTATCTCTACGAATCTATTTTATATGACTGCTTAGATTTCTATATCCATTTCAGCATTGATCTGTCGCTGATATAGGAAATAGTAATTGATCATTTACTCCATAATGGTTTTGACCTCTGAACTAATTACTTTCTATTAATCTCTCGTCATGCTCTTACCTCGTCAGCAGCACTCAGATCCTTGAGCATCTCCTCAATGAAGTACTTGGTGCGGCCATAAACATTGGTGATGTTCCCAGTGGGGTGGGTCTCTGTGATAGGCAGGTGCTCCGGCTCGCCGTACACCGTGCACGACGAAGAAAACACCATTTGGTAGCAGTTGTGTGACCGCATTACCTGCAAGACGTGTTTTTTTACATTAATAAATCAGTCGACAAATGATACTCTTGGTGAACCTTCATTGGTTGGATTTTTACTGGCGGTCAAGCTGTAGATCCTTACTGCACAGGAGTTGCAGAGCTGGAAACGAGAGGAGGAAACTGGGAATAGTTCCGTTACTCTTGGTTACTTTGTTCAGTGCCAACTTTAACTCTCAAACTCAAAGAATAAAAGGACTTGGGTAGGTAAAACATTTAGCAAAAGTGATTCCTTCAGTCATCTTTTACCCTTAGGTAGAAGAGCTACGATAAATGTAGCGTAGCAATATGAATGAAGTTGTCTTATTATGGTCACATTGTAGTGAGGTTTTCCAAAATCGTTCTTACCTCCAACAAATTGAGCATTCCTAGTAGATTGTTCTGGTAATATAGAAGTGGTTGCTGCATTGATTCGCCAACGGCTTTTAGGGCAGCAAAGTGGATGACGCAATCGATTTCATGCTGAAAAATAAAGGTAAGATGAACCAAACCAGTCAAACGGATTGCGAAAGTTATATTTACTAAATAATTTCAGAATTCTTCAGCTAAGGTTCGCATTAGCGTTTCAGCATCTCATACTCAGTGATAAGTTTGTCCTAGATAGGGTGAGGAGGCCCCATTAGACCGTTGCGCTGCGTCGCGTCATAAAAAATATATGGAAAGCGTCGACGCTGCGCAACGGACTAATGGGGCCTCCTCACCCTGCTCATAGTTTTGAGGGGCAAAGAAATTTTTTCTGAACGTTCGGCATTTGTTTGCAAAGTATTGGAAAAATCGCAGTTAACTTTCTGCCAGATGATATACAGGGTGGAAACGTTAAGTGATCTCACTCGATTATTTCTAAACTATACAAGATATCGAAAAACTGATTACTGATTCTGAAAGTGCTTCACAAGCTCTTTCAAACGGTACCAATAATAGGTTACAGAATAAACTGGATCTATCCGAAAATTCAATGTTTCCAGCTTCCATACATTTAGTAAAACCACATAATATTAAAAACTATACAAGATATTTAAAAACTGGTTACTGATCCTGAAAGTGCTTCACGAGCTCTATCTAACAGTACCAATAATAGGTTACAAAATAAACTGGATCCATTCGAAAATTCAATGTTTCCAGCTTCCATACATTTAGTACAGCCACAGTCATTGGCACTCATGTCTTGTTAATATTATAGCAATTAAAGCCTAAAACCAATGTTTTCCAAGAATAATTTTAATAATAATGCAATTTACGAGTTCATTTTAAGTGTTTATTATTTAATAAAAACAATTTTTACTTTATTATTGATTGGCTGGCATACATTTAGTATGGAGGCTGAAAACATTAAATTTTCGGATAGATCCAGTTAATTCTGTAACCTAATATTGGTACCGTTGGATAGAGCTTGTGAAGCACTTTCAGGATTAGTAACCAGTTTTTCGATATCTTGTATAGTTTAGAAATAATCGAATGAGATCACTTATCGTTTCCACCCTGTAGAGTTCTAAAAGATCTGCTCACCTTATCGAATATGTCCACAATCTGTTGTTTGTCCAGTAAATCGGCTCTGTAGAAGGTGATTTTCTTGTCCGTGATCATCTCTGCGCGGCGCAGCGCCGGGGAGCCCTCGTCATCGCCAACTGCATTGGCGAAGTTGTCTATGGCTACGACTTCATGACCAGCCTGCAGTAGGTCCACCACGCAGTGGCTGCCGATGTAGCCAGCGCCTCCCGTCA